GGCCCTGCTTGGGGAGTTCTTGCACAGGTGCCTGCTGGTTGCTTTCTCTGGCCACTTGTAGGAACCATGATCTTCTGTGTTTGCTTCAAGGAAAAGCCCTCGGTGGATTTTACTTTGTGTTGTATATATATAATGCTTTTTTTTTTTTTTTTTTTAATGAGAAATCTGGAAACCAAACTGTCTCCTGGCTAAGAAAACACATGTAAAGATCCTGACTTTTTGAAGAAAATATGTGTAATCATTTTTAATAATTAGAGTTTTTAGAGTCAGGCATTAGTTGTGATTATGATACATTTGGAACAACTGCATACCTAAGGAGAGTATCTGGGTTTGAGTCCTGGCTCTGTTTTTTTTTTTTTTTTTTTTTTTTTTTTCTTAAGATTTATTTATTTGACAGAGCAACAAAGAGACAGACAGAGACAGAGACAGAGACAGAGACTTCGACTTCTTCCATCCACTGGTTCACTCCCCAAGTGGCTGAAACAGCCAGGGTTGGGCCAGGTTGAAGGCAGGATCCAGAGACTCTATCCTGGTCTCCTACTTGGGTGGCAGGGACCCAAGCACTTGGGCATCTTCTGCTGCTTTCCCAGGCACATTAGCAGGAGGCTGGACTGAAGCAGAGCAGCCAGGACATACTCTGTATTCTTTTATAGATGCCTGCAATGCAAGTGGCAGCTTAACCAGCTGAACCACAATGCTGCCCCTTTGGTCCTGCTTCTGATTCAAGCTTCCTGTTAATGCACACCCCGAGAGGCATCAGAGGATGGCCCAAGTGTTCTGTTCTTTGCCACTTATGTGGGAGACCTGGATTGAGTTCTGGGCTCCTGACACATTGGCAAGGTTGTTGCAGGCATTTAAAAGAGAGTGAACTATCTGATTTCTCCCTCTCTCTCTCTGACTTTCAAATAAATAAATAAATTTTAAAAATTAAAATTGGATTTTATGAGGTTTCTTAGAGGTGGTATGTGTTATAGAACTGTGAGTGTTGGCAGGATGGCTGTGACAGCTCAGCAGAGTGAGGGGGCTGGGTTGGAGCCACTTAAACCCCTCTGTCTCCAGAGCTGTGCTTTAATTATGGAGCCGGCTGTGACTCTGAGTTCCCGTCTCATAGGCAGCTGCGTGTTGTGTGCGACTGGTTTTGTACTAACATTTCTGCGGGTCCCATCCGTCACTGTTGTCCCTCCATCAGTTTGCACTTCGGTCATCTCTGCCCGACTGTCAGGATGCAATCGTCCTCCTCCTTGGCTGCCTGCCCTGTGCCCTCTGTCCCTGTGCAGGGCTCCACCGAGACAGCGGAAAGATGAGCCTTCCAAGTTGAGTGGCAGAGCAGGGCACAGCTGGAAATGGCTTCTACAGAAGACTGAACACTGCAAGCATCCAAACAACTGAATTGGTTTTTCAAGAACAAATAGCCACTTCCAGAAAACCATGGCATTGGATTGTTGAGCACGCTGCGTGTCTTTGGTATTCTCGCCCGCCAAGAGTGGCTGGTTGGTGATGTTACAGCACCTGCTGGGTCACGTGGACAATGATGCCAGGTCATACAGGGCCACAGGGAGTTGGTGACACTCCCATAGTGATCATGGAAGCTGTAGAAAAGTAAAAGGAAAGTGAGAAAAAAATAAAAAGTAAAAATCACCTTGAACTTTTTTTTTTAAAGATTTATTTATTTTACTTGAAAGTCAGAGTTACACAGAGAGAGAAGGAGAGGCAGAGAGAGAGAGTTCTTCCATCTGTTGGTTTACTCCCCAATTGGCTGCAATGGCTGGAGCTGTGCTGATCCAAAGTCAGGAGCCAGGAGCTTCTTCCAGGTCTCCTACGTGGGTGCAGGGGCCCAAGTACTTGGGCCATTCTCTACTGCTTTTCCAGGCCACAGCAGAGAGATGGATTGGAAGTGGAGCAGCCGGGACTAGAACTGGTACCCATATGGGATAATGGCACTGCAGGTGGCGGCCTTACCTGCTACGCCACAGCACCGGCCCCGCCTTGAACTTTCTCTAGAAGGCATCTCTATTGCTCCTTCCCCAAACACTGTAAAGAGTTTGGCTTGTACCCTTCTGCACATATTTGAAATACATGACGCACAGTATATCTCAAAGACACACCAGCGTGGAAAGGAAGCCTGGGCTGGTGGTGACCTGCTGGATTCTATTTGAAGTTGACTTGGCAGTGCTAACTAATCACTAAGCAGCAGAAGTAGGAAGCCTATTTGACATTTCACTTGCACACTGAGAGTTATTTTTACACTTTTCTGTTCACATTATTTGAACTCAGTATCTTTATTAAATATAGTGTTATGTGTGCATTTTCTACTTTATTAGTATCATACTATGCATATGTTTCTACAGTTTCCATTTTTCACCTAACTGTTGTCTTTGGGATCCATCCACGTGGATACACACATAGCTGCACATACTGTTCCCCTGTGACTTTTTTTTTTTTTAATAGATACAGAGAGAAAGGTCTTCCTGCCATTGGTTCATCCTCCAAATGGCCACCACAGCCAGAGCTATGCCAATCCAAAGCCAGGAGCCAGGTGCCTCCTCCTGGTCCCGATGTGGGTGTAGGGGCCCAAGCACTTAGGCCATCTTCCACTGCCCTCCTGGGCCACAGCAGAGAGCTGGACTGGAAGAGGAGCAACCGGGACTAGAACCGGTGCCCATATGGGATGCTGGCGCCGCAGGCGGAGGATTAACCAAGTGAGCCATGGCACCGCCCCTCCCCCTGTGACTTCTACTACATTTTATTTAGTGGTTCCCTTACAGATGGGCATTCAGATTTTTCTCATTTTTTTCCCCCTTTACAAAGAGTATTATGGGGACATTCTCCTAGAAAGTCACATGTGATGTTAACTGACATAGTTGTCCAGTGTAGAGGCCTTTCATAATCGCACTTCTCTTTGTACCCTGGGCTGGTGTTTTCCTGGGGTAGAAAGGAACAACCAGGCCAGAGGGTATTACAGAGCACCAAGTTGCTTGGGAGTGTGTCTGAACAATGTGGAGACTGCAGCAAGTCTCCTTTGTTCTCTTAAAATTAAGGGATATAAACTCTAGAGCAGGTTAGGACCGGGACAGTATAGAAACAAATCTATCACTAAGTATTATCTCTCGGAGTCAGTGCTGTGGTACAGCAGGTGAAGCTGTCACCCGTGGGCTGGCATCCCACATGGGTGCTGGTTCAAGTCTCGGCTGCTCTGTTCTAATCCAGCTCCCTGCTGATGTGTCTAGGAAATCAGCTAAAGACAGCCCAAAGCCTTGGCCCCTGCACCCAAGTGGAAGATCCAGAGGACACTCCTGGCTCCAGATTGGCCCACCTGCAGCCATTGTGGCCATTTGGGGAGTGAACCGCAGATGGAAGATAACTTTCACTCTCTCTCTCCTCCCCTGTAACTTTACGTTTCAAATAAATAAATCTTTTAGAAAAGTATAATCTCATAAGCTCTATGTGTTCCATTAGAATTTTATGTGATGATGGAAATGTTCTAAAATCTGTTGTATCCACCACGACAGCCTGTAAGCCACATTCCGCTAGTGAGCAGTTGAAATGTGGCCTTTGGGACTCTGGAATTGAAGTGTAAGGAATTTTGCTTGAAGTTTAAATAGCTGTGTATGTACAGTGGCTACCTTGTTGGACAATGCAAGTAGGAAGTGTGCACCACCAGAGGATGTGTCGTTATCCTATTTTATTACAGTCCTGAAATGTTTAAGAAAGTGATGCCTGCAGTGCTGGGGTCTGGTCTGTTTTGTTCAGTTAGAGGCCCTGGAAAATAGGGAAATAAATAAGTGAGTGAAGACAAGATGATGTAATGGAGGTTTGCCATTTCTCCTCCTCGTTGAGAGACTCCTATCTGCTCTGCTCTGGCTGGGGCCCTCTGACAGGGGGCTGCACAGTCCTACTGGGCCAGTTCTTTGCAAAGTGAATTGATGGCTATGTAAATCCAGCCATTAACCTTAAACACCACAGACAGCTCCTCAGGCGCTGCAGTTTGCTTGTCCTTGAAAATGCTGGTTGATAGATGCCAAGGTATTTGAAAAAAATTATCGCTCCTACCTGGTTGAAGCAGTGGGCCTGCTAGGTGTGAGTACAGGTTGAGTATCTGTAATATTTAGGATCAGAAGTGCTTCAGATTATGGATTTTTTCCTCCCTGGATTTTGGAATCTTTGCATATACTTAGGGATGAGATTCAAGTCTAATTACAAAAGTCATTTTTTAAATTAAATTTTATTTATCTAAGAGGAAGAGTTACAGTGAGTGAGAGGGAGTGACAGAAAGAATGGTCTTCCATCTGCTGGTTCACTCCCCAAATGGCTGGCAATAGTTGGAGCTGCGCTGAACCAAAGCCAGGGCCAGGAGCTTCTTCCCGGTCTCCCACATGGGTGCAGGGGCCAAGGACGTGGGCCATCTTCTACTGCTTTCCCAGGCCATAGCAGAGAGCTGGATTGGAAGAGGAGTACCCGGGACTAGAACTGGCACCCATATGGGATGCTGGTACCGGAGGCAGAAGATGAACCTACTGTGCCATGGTGCTGGCCCCAACAAAACTAATTTTAAAAGATACAGACACACCACACACACACACACACACACACACACACACACACAGAGAGAGAGAGAGAGAGAGAGAGAGAGAGAGAGAGAGAGAAATAGATGGTACATATGTTGGTTCATTCCTGAAATGCTTGCAAAACCCTGGGCTGGGTGAGGCTGAAGCCAGCAGCTGGGCACTCCATTTAGGTCTCTCACATGAATGGTAAGCATCCCAAGAACTTGAACCATTATCTGAAGCCTTCCAGGGTGTGTATCAGTAGGAAGCTGGATTAGAAGCAGAGGCAGGATTAGATACCAGGCACACCAACATGGGATACAGGCATCCCAAGCAGTGGTTTAAAACAGTGCAACACACTTACCCAAACACAAAGCTCATTTGTTTTACATACACCTTCTACATATATCCTGAGGGTAACTTTTTAAAATTTATTTAAGAGGTAGAGCCATTGACAGTGAGAGGGAGAGAAGAGGTAGAGCCATTGACAGTGAGAGGGAGAGACAGAGGTCTTCCATTCATTGGTTCACTCCCCAAATGGCCACAGTGGCTGGAGCTGAGCTGATCCAAAGCCAGGAGCCAGGAGCTTCTTCCAGGTCTCCCATGTTGGTATAGGGGCCCAAGCACTCAGGCCATTTTCCACTGCCTTCCCAGGCCATAGCAGAGAGCTGGATCAGAAGAGGAGCAGTTGGGACACTAACTGGCACCCATATGGGATACCAGTGCTGCAGGCAGATACTTAACCTTCTACACCACAGTGCCAGTCCCTCCCGAGGGTAATTTTATACAGGATTTTTTAGTGTGCTTCTGTTTTGACTGTGACCTGTCACACAAGGTCAGTTGTGGATTTTTTCTGTTTGTGGCATTATACTGATGCTCAGAAAGTTTCAGATTAGGGATGCACAACCTGTTCTTGGCACGGATTTGGAATTCCACTCCTCAGAGGAATGTTTTAAAAATTTACTCTTGGTATATAGGGAATTGGACCATGCATATTTATATGCATCTTTGTGTTATTTTAATTAATGTCTCTCTACCTATCTATGAGAGAGAGAGAGAGAGAGAGAGAGCGAGCGAGCGAGTGAGCACTCTCATCCTCTGATGTACTCCTCAAATACCTTCCGTGGTCACAGCTGGGCTAGGCAGAAGCATGACTCTGGGAACTCAATCCAGGTTTCCAATGTGGGTGGCAGGGACCCAGTGACATGAGCCATCCCCTCTGCCTTCCAGGGTACACATTATGGCAGGAAGCTGGAATTAGAAGTAGAGCCAGGACTTGAATCCATTTCCTCTGGTCTGGGATGTAGGCATCTTAACCACTAAGCCAAAACTTGCCCACATACTTTTTTAAAAAAGGACACAAATTGAGTTCTAACTTGAAAGTGCTGGTGAAAGGGAGTTTGTGGAAAACTTGATTTTAAAGCATATGGAGTCTTATAAATCTGGAATTTTGTATATATTTTCTAATTAGGCATACCTTGCAATTAAAACAGTATCTTCTCTTTCTCATCTTGAAAACATATTTAGAAGTGGATTGAGTGGGAAGACAGAGATGGAAGATAGCTAAGATGGCAATTGACCATGTTGCAAATCCACCTGGTTGTTGGAAAAGCAGAGATTGTATTAGTGATAGGATGCAAAGTAACAGGTGCCAGGAGACTGATTGTCTTTGCAGGATCATCTGCGACATTCCCGTGTACACTACTGCATCACACTGTTTGTTTCTCAATGCACCAAAATCACTCCTTCTCCAGTGGCCTTGTGCTTGATGGTCCTTTTCTTGCTATGTGGAATATGAATACTTTGAGTTTTTTAAAACCTTTTTTTTTTTTTTGGGTGGACTGGATTTTTCTCATTCTTTAAAAGTCTCAAATGTTGTCTGTTAAGAGAGGTTCTTGAATGCACATGTCTCTTTATCTACTTGGAGCAACAGTGGTGTGACTTTATAATGTCAGTGGGAGTGCAGTTGATGACTGTGAATATGCTTGGAAAACCACAGTGTAAGCACATATTGTCCCTGCTGCTGAAGACTGACCAGAAACTATGGTGTCTTCTGCCAACCTGTAGCAGTCATCCTTAAGGCTGGGTATCAAAGTGATAACTCCAGGTGCTGAATTCCGAGCTTATGCTTCTGTGGTCCCGTCTGATCTCAGGTCGAGACCATCACTGGGGTGTACTTTCAGGCTTCTACCGTGACACATCAAGACAGGCTCTGGTTCTGCTCCTGGTTAAATAGAAACACCTGTATAACTGAAAACTCAGGCCATAGGACCACTGCTGTGCTATGTAAGGGCATCTAGCGTCTGTTTATGTCTGGTGTCTGTTACTATGGTAACTGGATGAGGAGAACCCTACAACCGCATGTCCAGTCCGAGAAGGAAGACGTCTAGAGGGGAATGTTGCTTTCCTGGATGCCGGAGTGGAAGCTTTTGGGAAGCTCTTTGAGGTGGTGGAGGGGATCATGTTGGAGAATGGACATTCATTCCATTTGTTTAATTGTTGGTAGTCCATTTATACAAAATGGCTGTACACAAGGGAGGGTTGTGGAAGAGATGCTGTTTGCCTACATTCCATTCACGCTTCCATTTCCTCCTACTGAAGCCCCTGTTTTCAGCCAGGCTCAGCTGCAGAGGGTCAGGACTGTCTCAGAGCCTTTTTCCGCTACCGCGACCATGGGAGACACTGCAGAAGGGTTGGTATTTCTAGCAAGTCTTCTAAAATCGAGGGGTGGAGCTCTTTCTGGATCTTCCTCCTTTCCACATTCTGAAATATGATGTAATAGTTGATGCTCCAACAGCTTTTTTTTTTTTTTTTTGATAGGCAGAGTGGACAGTGAGAGAGACAGAGAGAAAGGTCTTCCTTTGCCGTTGGTTCACCCTCCAATGGCCGCCGCGGCCAGCGCGCTGCGGCCGGCGCACCGCGCTGATCCGATGGCAGGAGCCAGGTACTTATCCTGGTCTCCCATGGGGTGCAGGGCCCAAGCACTTGGGCCATCCTCCACTGCACTTCCTGGCCACAGCAGAGAGCTGGCCTGGAAGAGGGGCAACCAGGACAGAATCCGGTGCCCTGACTGGGACAAGAACCTGGTGTGCCGGCACCGCAAGGCGGAGGATTAGCCTAGTGAGCCGCGGCGCCAGCCTATGCTCCAACAGCCTTTGCGGACTGTAAAGGGACCTTGACCATGAGAGTCAGATGGGAAGAAGGCAGATCTGGAAAGACAGAAGTAGCTGGAGACCTACTGATTCTTTGGAGCCCAAGCACCTGCCTGCTGCCTGACATAATTTTTGTAAAATAACAAGTTGTTTGGTCTTGAAGCCTGCATTTTCTGGACCATTACTGCATGCACTGGGATAAAATTATCCAGGCAGAATGTTGTGATAAACAAGGTTGTTATCCTTAATAAGATAATGTGACTGTTATATATATAGAGCATTCTAGAATATTCTTTCAGGTTCTGTTTTGGTAAAACCTGAGTAATGGAAAAAGAAACTATACAGCAGAATTGTTGTCAGAGGGGTGGCTCCTACCCAGATCCTGAGAGCCATTTCTGAGGAGGGTCAGGTGGAAATGCTCAGTGGTTTGGGGCCAGAAATGAAGAAAACTGCCAAGGCTATTAAAAACCATCAGAGAATTCTGCAAATGGCCAATATTGAAGTTAGTTACAACTCATTCTCAAATAAATTGGAGTCTGATCCGTTTGATGTGTTTTGACAGGAAATGTATATTTACTGCTTGAAATGATTCCAACTGCTGAGCTGTGAACCACCGTGTTTCATAAATTAACACGAGATGGAGGCAGAAAGAAACTCACACCTTTTCTGAAACAGCATTCCACAAGCAAGAATTTCTCACAATTGCAAGGTATTTACCCTATTTCCAAAAGCACACATTCACCCTAGTAGGGTTTGAACTCGTCTGTCAGACATAGTTATTGCTTTTGCAGAGAACAGAAATAGTCACTTACAGTTGAAGGAGATGAGCGGATAAATTCAGCATATCTTGGTCAATTCAATATTTATTGAATAGGAATAGAAATTTCTCTTACATGTTTTTCCTTTTTCATATATAAATCTTAAAAGCTGGTGCAGCACAAGGTATAGGGGGCTGGCTACACTTCTTAATTCTGTATAAGTCTCATATTCAATGAACTTTCAAGTAAGGGAGATTTAGCAACAGTTGAGATAAGAGGAGGACATTTCCGTGTGAAGGAAGTAAACCTATCAGAAGCTCAGAAGTGTGCAAATCCGTCTCCCACCATGATGCTGAGTTAAGCTTTCTTCCCAGCCAATTAGTAGCCCATTATTTTCTCTGGTATGTTCCCAGCAAGAGTCCTAAATGTTTACACTTGAAGTGTGTTATGGTAAAGACTCAAAACATAGACAAGCACCCTACAGAAAAAAACGCACAATTTTACCATGTGGTACAGGCAACAGGGAGAGGCAGCATCCCGCCAGGGTGACACACAGCTTGTAAGTTACCGAACTTGAACTCCTTTACGCCTCTCTGTGTCTGAGAATGTCTTTCAAGTGTTCATCAGCTCAGTGACAGATCCTCTCTCCAAAATGATCTCCATCCTGTGAGACCACACGCTCGAGAGAGGGTGAGGGAGGACAAAAAGCAGTGGACACGGAATGCCAGCAGCCCACAATCAGAGCTGGCATTAGAATCTAGAGCGAGAATTGGAACCCAGGCGTCGCCACGACGCTAAGGAAAACAAGCCAGGGCTTCCTCAGCCTTTCCCTGCCCCTCCAGCACATCTCCCCCTCTTCCGGAACCCTTTGCTGGCCCCCTGTGGCAGGGCTGCCTCCCCTGCGCCCCCTTTCTGTTCCTTGATGGCTGCTAGTGTTTGGCAACAACTCCCAGCCACGGGGCGTGAAAGGAGGCACAGCTGGGCAGCCTTCATAACACTGGCTGTGAAGTCACTCACTTGGGCTGAAACCGTGGCTTCCTCTGCGCAGCCTCGGGCAGGCAGTGGCCGCTATTACAGGAATCCTCATCTGTAAAGCAGACAGAATACCCGATCGGAATTAGATGGAGAGTGCCTGTGCGACCCCTGGCACCGCGCCTCGCACAGAGCAAGTTTTCGTTAGATCTCAGCAGCCATTGTGTTTATTACTGATGTTGGCTGTCACTGTTCCAGGCAAGTGTAATTAGGGCTGTTTAAATGAATGCACTGTTAAAAGGCTTCCCGTGTGGTTTTCCAAATAACCCCAAAGACTTGATCTGTGCTGTAGTGACGTACTTTGGCTGGGGAGATATTTTTAGGACAGAGTTCCCTCGCCCAGGGCCTTCAAGCACACCCCTCTCAGCAGCCTCCTCGGGTTCAGTCCCCTAGGTAAATGCCTTGCACCCCCGAAATACGATCTACAGGTGCTTTAGCATCCACCGGGTGGAAAGGTGAAAGAATTCAGTTTTTTTTTTTCCTTTCGACTTTGTTGCTTTCCATGGTTTTCTGAAGTCCCATAGAGAGTATTCTTAGGGCTTTGCAATTTTCAGGCTATCACAGAAGGAAAACCGAGTTTGATCTCCTGGGGCTTAAAAGAACCGTTCCAAATGTGGGAGCACTTGAACAGGAGCCAGTGGCACCTTGGGCCTGCCGGTTTGCAGCTAAACCCGTTATTAATTCTCTTTGAATGCAGCGGCACACACAGCTAAGTAGGAGTTGATTAACGGCGCGCTGCTCGCTGGCTCATCTGGTCCCAAATACTTTGAAAAATCCAGCAAGATGGGGGAGGGTAGAGGAGATGAGGGGTGTTCATTTGGCAGGAAAAATCTCCAATATGGGGCTGCTTCTCCCGTTTCCCATGCATGCTGCTGTTTTGCATTTAATTAGTGGCTAGTAGTTAAGTCCAGTTTGTAACATTCTGGTTGCTTCCTTGAGCTTTGGCAGCCTTTTAATCATGGCTTCCTCCCCCCTTCCCCTACGCCCCCCTCAAACCCTCTCTCTTTTTGATGTACTCGGCCGCATGCAAGTGAGAAGACCCAGATTAGATGCGCCTGGTAATCGTGGAAGGGAGAGTTGGGTTTTCAGGACTTTCCTGTTGTTTCATGATTAAAAAGGCCCCAGCAGGTGTAGAAAAAGCAAGATCCTCTCGGATACCCTTTAGGAACGGGCTTCTCTCGAAGGTCCTGAAAGTGGGAAACAGACCACGAGTGGTGGATGGTGTCAGGTGAAAGATGGAATCAAGGTGTGCAGAATATTCCTGGAGCCTGGACCCGCAGCAGGCAGGGGAGAGAGACTCTGTGGATGAGACATTGATCCGAAGCGTCTCCCGGGAGTGGGGGGGGTCGGTGGCTCGGAGGTGAGGTGCAGAGAATTGCAATGATTTCACAGCGCTCTGGCTGATGAGCTGACTCGAGCCCAGGCATGGGTAAGAACGCATTATAGCTCATAAGGGCTTTGAGACACGGCAGCTGCCGACACCGCATCCTGGCTGGCCAGCACCCTACTCAGGAAGTTTGGTGCTGTGCTGGCTGTGTGTCTTTTTTATGACATGCTGAGAGAGATGAAGCAGTCTTCCCTTCCTAGCCCCGCCTGGCTCACCCAACTTCTACAGGTGAACTTGTATGATTGGGTCTCCCCTCCTTACTGGGTCTCTGGTTTCTTTTTAAGCCACACCGTAACTGGTGGTGTCCAGCATGTGAAAGCTTTTTTTATTTTTAGGTATTTATTTGAAAGGCAGAGTTACAGAGGCAGACAGAGAGAAGAGAGAGAGAAAGAAAGAGAGAGGGAGAGAGAGGTCTTCCATCCACTGGTTCCCTTTCAGATGGCTGCAATGGCCGGAGCTGTGCCAATTGTAAGCCAGGAGCCAGGAGCTTCGTCCTGGTCTCCCATGCAGGTGCAGGGGTTCAAGGACCTGGGCCATCTTCTACTGCTTTATTAGGCCATAGCAGAGAGCTGGATGTCAAGTGGAGCAGTCAGAACTCGAACTGGTGCCCATATGGGATTTCGGCACTGCAGGCGGTGGCCCCACATGGAAGCTTTTGAAATATTTGTTGAAGTAATTATTGGTTTGTGGGATTCTGAAATGCTGGAGGTATGGTCAGTTCCAGCTTTTGTGTGGGGGAGCTGTCTGTCCCAAGTTCTGCTTTTCCATCTTCCACACAGAGTGGATCATATTCCCAACCTGGGGGTCAGAGGGGGTGGGGTTGGGGAGGAAGGTCTTTGTTTCCCTCTCCATCAAAATACACAGGGAACGTCAGTCTGCATTAAGAGAACACTGGATTCTCATTGCACAGCACCTGTTTATGGTCAGTGTTTTGTGTTTGTCTTGTGAGAAGATGAAGAGGAGACATGAGGGCAAGCTGTTAAGAAATCTCCAAAATCAGGCTTCTCTGGGAAAAAAATGGATTAGGGAGGATTAATCTTTACAGTGCATTTTATCGACTGGCCTGGCATAATTGCTCCCCTCTCACACATCAGCAGCGTGTGTGCTTTCAACAGTGAGCAGTTGGATGCGAACAGTGCCCTTAACATGTTTGGGGGCTACAGTTACTGAAATTCAAATTCAGCAGAAGCCAGAGAGAGACCGAGTTTGATCCTCTTTTGGGGAATGCAACATTAAAATGAACTCCTATTTCAGGGAAAATCTGTCATCACCTCTCTTTTTTAACCTGCTTAGTAGTTTCGTAGGAGGTCAGAGTTGATATTTATCAAACAATTAACTCCCAAGCATTGTGTGTCAGTCTTTGAGCGATATTTTAAAAAGACAAGCCTTGTGAGGTCGATGCAGAGGAATCTGCACGTGGGAATTGGTGCTGAATTGAGTGTGTCAAAGGAAAATGATACATAGTCAGAGTTGCCCTCTGCAAAATCCCATAGGTTATTTTTGTATATAGCCCTATAGGAGGATGTTTACCCCTCAAGTTGGGAGAATTGCTGAGCTAGTTTATAGGAAGGAACAAAAGGAACATCTACATGCAGAAGTCTGAGAATTCAAATTTGTTGAATAAATGAATGTTGAATGAATTCTGTTTCTAACTATCAAAGTTCTATGGAGCTGGTGATGGCTTGCGAATTCTTAAGTGTTTCTCTGGCTTGAAGGGTTGGCTCCTTTCTCTTTTAATCTTAAGCCTCTGTAGCCTAAATCTATCGTGCCAGATTTGTTGTTGTGAGGTTTAAATACCACTTCTAGACAGCCCGGACCCCAGTTACGTCCTGAAGTGAGTTTGCCTGTTTGGCGTGCCCGTGCTGAGTGCACTGTTGAATCGGTGGCCTCGTGTTACAGAGGACAAGCTGGAGTGCTCTAAGTGGCTTGCTCAGGCCACTGTCACAGACACTCAGGTGGCCTCCCATGACCCACACATCCTAGAGCTCACCCTTTGGCGTAATCCCCTTTACTTGGGTGCAGGTGGAATCTGACTGGCTTCTAGCCAATAGAATGGGACAGAGATGACAGGCTGTCACGGCTGTGACTGTGTTACATGGTGTAGCACTGTTTTATTCATGGACCGGCTCTGGACACTGTCTTTGACGGCCTGAGAAAGGACGTGGACATATAGGAAAGTCCAAGGTCTTCCTCCAGCTAGAGCCGGCCCAAAGCCCGGAAGTTCTCAGCCCTACAGCTGCAAGGATGAAGGATTGAATGTACCAGTAACCCTGGGGGTGGAGAAGTCTTCCTCAGATGAGCCCCTGATGGGACCCTGGCCCTGGTTGGTACCTTGGTTATGGTTTCAAGAGACCCTCAGGAGAGCGCCCGGCTAAGCCACACCCAGGCTTCCCACGCAAAGAAACCATGAGATAATAAATGTGTATTGTTTGAAGTCACTAAGTTGGTGTAGTCGGTTCTGAAGCCATGGGTAAGTGATACAGCTGTGTAAAGAGTGACTGCTAGAAACTGAGCTTGGAATATAGCAGAACT